AGTTAGTGTGTAAAAGCCTTTGCAATCATCTCGCGCTACAGACCTGGAGGAGGGTTTAAATACAAGGCTCTTTAACAAGATGAAAACAGCCCTTTCCCCACTGGTTTTCTGCTTGCTCTTTCATGCCGCAGGAGCCTCCGGATGGTGTCAGGGCCTGGCTGTCCGTGGGCTGACAGGTTTCCTAACCGCACCGAGCGACTCCCCTCCCTGCACCGTCAGCACAATATCAGTGACGTTGCAGCAGCTGGAGGAGGCAGCAGCTCAGCACCAGCCAGAGCCACTTGGGAGCAGCTGCTGGCCATGAGTATTTGGGCTATGTCCCCCCCCCAAATTGCTCAGTCAGACTTTTTTTTAAAAAATAAAACTTTTCAGCAGAAAACTCAACCGCCGGTGGTGGTTTCACCTGATTGAAAGTGAAGCAGAGACCTTGGGATCTGCCCAGTCATGGCAGTGCCTGAGAGCGGGGTTTGCTGGGACCCTGCAAGTCCCTGAAGCTGGGGAAGCTCAGCAGACGGTCCTGGAGAGCAGTCGTGTGCCTGTGGGGTCCCTCTCCAAAGAGAGGACCCAGACAGCTCCCTCTTCACAGCATGAATATAAAACACTTCTCCTTTCTTGACTGCTATTTGTAACCCAAGCCAATAACTCCCAAATATGTGCTGGGCACCCAGCATGCCCCAGCCTGGCTGCTGGCATCCTCAGAAAAGCACCCGATCCTGGAGATGGGCTGGAGAAAGTGGGAACCCGTGTGGTGTGGGGCATCTAAACCTGCAGGAGCTGCTGCCGGAGGGACGGGAGATGCTTTGAAATATCACCCAGCAATGCCCTTGGCTTCTAGGGGAGCGAAGCAGCCTCCAGCTGTGCCGAGGGGGCGAAGCTACAGGCAGCAAGTTTGCTGTGGTTCACATCTGCAAAACCTGCCAAGGAAGGGACCGATAAAGCTCTGAATATTATTATTGTTGATGTTGTTGTTATTTTACAAAGTAAGAAAACCTATCTTGCAATTCCAAAACCTTCAAGGAAAAAGCAACGTGCCAGTGGCCCAGAGAAGTGTTTTGATTTTCTTCTGTCTGACGATAGCGAAACCCCCTGCAAAGCGGGTGGGCTGGATGGAGATGCCCCACGCGGCCCCCGTGAGCGGTGGCATCCTCTGACAGCAGGTCATGGTCTCACCCATGACAGGCATCGGCACAAAGCACCGGTGCCCTGCATGAAACCTTGTGCCTCGGAGTGTGCAGCAGGAAAATGGGTATAATCCTATTTACCTCCCTCCTCTGGAGCTGGCTGTGGTGTTTAATTCATGTCAGGAGCTCGGCTGGTGACTCCTGGATGAATGACGCTGTATAAATGCAAAGTGTTATTAATATTTCATGTTGTAGTGAAAATGTACTAATGGGGCTTGTTCCTGGAAGATAAAGTGCTGCCATTAATACACCTCCATGTCCCCAGCGCCACAGACCCGAGTGGGCTGGCTGGTTTTGGCTGGCAGAGGGTGCAGCCTTCAGCACCTCCTTCTGCCTCTGGCAAACCGAAACCTCTGGCAAACTGAAGTGGTGGGACAGCGGCTCTGGCTGTGGGAGCTCGGTGCCTGCCAGCCCAAGGGCAGAGGATGCACCACCATTCGCTGTGGCTCTTGCTGGCTGGTGTCAGCCCTGTCTGCTGCTCCAGAGGGAGCGACAGCAGCAGAGCACCTCCTGCCTCTTGCTTCACCTCACTCTGTGTTTTTCTCTCCCCCTGTTTATTTTTTTCGTGCCTCCACCAGCTATTTGCCAGGCAGACGGGGCTCATCTCTTCTCTGGCTTGGCTGGACACCTTCTCCTCCTGCCATCAAAGCAGAGCAGGGGGATGAGGTGGGGTCACGGTGGCCATGCCCACACTCCCGGGAGGGCCGTCGGGTGCTGTGGAGGGGTGGAGGTGTGCTCTGCCTGGAGCCCAACACCAGCAGAAATTGCCTATGACGTCTGGCAGCTCTCCAAAAGAGGGAATTTTAACCCAGAAGGCAGCAAGCCATGAGAGCCCCTTTGGACACCCACAAGCCTGGGAGGTTTTGGGGCAGAACATATTCCCTCTGCCTCACTGGGTGCCGGCAGGATGAGTGCTGCTCTGTGCCCTCCCTGCCTGCCTGTGGGGGGACACAGGCCCTGGGAACCCCCTTCCTGGAAGAGCCACCGCACAGGCACGTTAAAAAAAAAATAAAAATGGGCTTGTTTGATTTCAAACTGCAGAACTCTTCCCTGGAGCCATCTGCAAACAGTGGTAATTTACTTTACAGCTGTTTAGATTTGTTTCTCTACATTTTTTTTTGAAACCAGCAGAATTGCAAATGAAACAAATGTGTGTTTGCTCCTTGAATGGCTCCAGCCCCACCTGAGCTCTTGCACCCCACGCAGCAGCGCCCTTGGACGCTCACCCATCTGACCCCCACCCCTGCACCCCTGCCCTGTGCTTCCTGGTGCACCCCAGAGCTGCGAGATGGGGGTCAGGCCTCAAAGAGGGCGTTCCCTGAGCTGGGAGCTCACCTTAGGAGGGCTGACAGGCTCTGGTGACAGAGAGGGGGTGATGGGGAAGAGACTTGTGCCAGCTTGCAGGTGAGGGGGAGAGCAAGAAATGTGGTTAATTAATTCCCAGTGAAATAATCGACTGCCGCCCACTCATCAGAAGGCAGGGAGGGATAAATGCTCTTCTTAAGTTATTGCCATGGTGCAAAGTTTGAGTAAAAAGGGAAAATAAAGGGAGCTGTTTGGCTGAGCCACTCCCAGTGCCTCTGGCAGGGGCTGCTGGGGCTTCAGCCACATCATCCCTGCAGGTCTGAGAAAGGGAAGATGGATGCAGGGAGGGGGTGAAGAGACCCCAGGCTGTGCTGGGCACCCTGGTGTCCCCACAGCAGCTGAGGGCAGATGGCCCTGACCACCCGCCCTTCCCTGCGGTGGGGCGGCCGATGCAGCCCTTCCCAGCACAGCAGCAGGATTGGGCCCCCACGCACTGTGGGACAGCCCTTCGCCCCAGGAAATCTGGCAGCTTACGGGACATGTGGGGATCTGCCTTGAACCTCGTCTTTTTGCCTCTGGGAATCTCCTCCTTACTCCCAAGAGCCCAGGGATGACTCACGTCATGCCAGCGCCTCTCACACCGGGCGATGCGTTCCTGCCGTGGGCAAGCACCGA